GAAGGCCTTGATTTCCATCCTATTTGCTTGTTAGCGCCATGTTGGTCAATGTATTTCTTTTCCTCTCAGTCCATTGATGATGACAGTGGTGACTTCTGTCTTGTCAGAGATAGAGGGGAAATGAACAGAAGTAATAAATGTGAAAGGGGATCGAAAATCACAAATTCTACACAAATGTTAATAATGGCTGTTGGTGGAAATATATATGGAGCGATACTACAGCTTAAGAATATTCAAGCAACACCTAGTAAAATTCAGGTCCTGGTTCTGATTTTAAGCTATCTTAGTAAAGAAGGTTCTGAGATGTCATGGGTTTGAGTCATAAACAAGGAAGGCGTACAGCTCTAGGCTATATGGCTGTCAGTGAATTCCTTTCCCTTGATTCCTATATTCCAACAGTATTTGCTCTACCAAAGAAATGCCTCTGCTAATGTGTCTATTTCTTTGGAACTCATTACTGTAACTACTAGTTTTATCTCTTTGGAGTTTTTCAGTCATTGGGATTTCAAACCACATCACCTTTGCTTTTTAAAAACCCAACATTCTACAGTACTATTTTCACAAAACACTCCACTGTGCAACCTTTAGGAGAAGTGCAATGGTAAGAGTCTACCACAAAGCATGCAGTCTACCTGCCTGTCATCTAGTCATATTGTAGGACCAGCAACCATCTGTGAGGTAGGATAAGAAAAAGAATTGTATAATCAATCAAGTGAAGTCCATGTTCTCAAACCTTCACCAAACTTTCCCGTTTGCTTTAGGGAGCTGGAGTCAGTAGAATGTTTGGGTTTCAAGCAGCAGAGCAGACAACTTTCAATGTGGATGAACCTCAAGGAAATGCATTATTTCACCGAAGACCATAGCACCCAGTCAGGCTCTGGAATGAGTTCATCACAGTCTAGACTTCAACCTCCCCCTGACTTTGTCTTCATGTTGATGCCACACCCCACTCCTTGCTATTATTAAGAGGCCTGTTGCACTTCTAGATATCAAGACAACACAGAGACACTCTCCCAAGGAAGAAAGAGCCCCCCCAGCACCTTCTTCTCAGAATAGAGAAAACCAACTTTTATTTGATGCCTTAGGTAGATTTTCTTCCACGCCTAATTGGCTAGAGTTAACCCACATGAGCATCCATACACTAACACTTGGCAAAGAATTACTTTGTCTATAGTAGAGAGGGTGGATCTTCAGGGCTATGGGTGAGCTGCCTTTCTCTGCACCATTCGAATAATCAAAACAATGGTGTGAGCACCTGAAGAAACTTGGGTTCAGAAAGGATGGAAAGAACAGGGAAGAAACAAGTTGGGTAGACAGCCCAATGTATCCACTGTTAAACTCCTTCAGAACAGACTTTGTGTAACTAAAGCATCAAAGATGGCTATCCATGACTGCCAGAAGTATTCATATAACTCTTTAAATAAGAGCCAAGATTGAGAAGAAGTCAAAATAAGCAAGGGCAAATGAGGGATAAAAGCCTGACGAGGGGGAAGTGTCTTTCAATTCCTTTCCAAAGATGCTGGCAGCCTCCTTCAGAAGGAGACCGAAGGAGGAATCCCCAGGAAGGTCAGGAGTGGCTCCTGACATCATTTTCTTATTTCCTTTCTACTGAAATTATAAAAAGCAAAGGTGTACTCTGAGAGAATGTGGCAGAAAGCTGTGAGAAGTTATTTCAGAATTAAGCTATAAAAGAGGGAAATCATGATTTCCTAGATGGAAACAATTCCAGCTGGCAGTTGGGAAGAGCAATATAGGATTTTGATTCTAAATTGGCTTAAAATCCAGAGCAATCCCTAGGAGGCTTTGACTCTAAAGTAATTATGATGCTGAGTGATTTGGAAGGCATTCTGAGCAAATCTCGGGACTAAAGCTAACCTGGAAAAAAAAATCAAGTTGCAGTTGATAGGTATTGTTTACTCTTTTTATGTGTGCTTAAATGTGCTTTGTGTAAAAGCTTGTTCTGTAAAAACCACTGACTTTGTTGGTGACTATTGTTTGGGTGGAACACTACTGTTATGCTCCCCAACAGTTTGGTAGAAGAGTCTCAGTTGTACTTGCATCCAAGAGGGAAGCCACCCATCTGTCTGATGCTGTCCCTGAAATTCTGCAAATAGGAAAAGAAGCAGGCATCCCAGGATGGTGATGTTGCAGGCTTTCTCGGTTGCTATAGGCATTCCTAGCTTTGATTTGGGTGGGCAATGTCTGTGCTGCTGCCTAGGTGGTATGTTTCTGTCTCCTAAGCTTGCTTCTCTCTGGACACTCTCCCATTCCCAATGACGTCCTGCTCTTGGTAGACATGCCTCCCTGACTGAAGACACATCCTCTTCTGTTCCTGCCGGCATAGTTACTCCATCAGTTCTTGGAAATCCCTAGGATCGCTCAACCTTGCATATGACTTTCTAGACAAGGTCATTTCTGTCTGTAAAGCAGATGTCACAAGAACTGTTGCTGGTGAGAGATCTTGTCATACTGTCACCAGATTCTTCACATAAAACTTCTCAGGGGCTCAGTGGGGACAGTCAGATTCAGCTATGGCTGACAGAGGAGGTGACTATTTTGATGGCATAGTCATTGAGTTCTGACCTTTGTGATCTGATTGTCTCTAGCCATTTTTAGATTTTAAAAATTATTATTATTATTTTCTTGTTTATCTGTATTTCTTTTTTAAAATTTCTTTTTGGAGAATTTCATACATGAGCACTTCAGCTAAATGACTCCTCCTGCTCCCTTCCCAATTCTATTGCCTTCCACTTCCCCCGACTCCATCTCAAATTCATGACCTCTTCATCTCTAATTATTTTTGTTACACATACAAAACACACACATACACATTTACTATTATTGTTGTTGTTGGTGTTATGTGTATGTACGGTGTGTATGTGTGTCACACAGCATGTGTGTGGAGGTGTGAGGACTACTTTGTGTCGTTGGTTTTCTTCTTCTGTATTTACAGTTTATGGTTTCTAGGATTGAACTCAGATTGATCAGCAGGCTTTCACCCACCGACTCACCTCGCCAGTCTGATTCTTAGGGTGGAATTCAGCAGGGATGACTGCAGACACATGCCAGCAGTCTCTCAACACGGTCCTGGTGCAGATTTCAGCTATGTGTGCTTTTGTCACATAGTCACTGTGCTGGCTGGGATAAGCTGAGAGGAAGGGATCTTCATTGAGAAAATGCTTCTATGGCATTGGCCGGTAGACAAGTCTGTAGGATATTTTCTTGATTGATGGTTGATGTGGGAGGGTCCAGTGTCATTGCAGGTGGTACCACCTCTGGGTAGGTAGTTCTGGGTGCTGTAAGAAAGCAGACTGAGCAAACCACAGGGAGTAAGCCAGTAAGCAGCACTCCTCTGCATTAACTCCTGCCTTCAGATTCTTGCCTTAAGTTCCCGCCCCAACTTCTCTGGATTGATGAATTACAAGCTATAAGAGGAAATAAAATCCACCTTTTTTCCTCATTACTTTTGGTCATGGTATTTTATTAGAACAATAGGAACCCTAAGATAGTCACTGAGTCCATTGCTAACAAACTGTTGATTGAAATAAAGTTTCTTGACAGGGCACAGGTTAAAAGCAGAGAGTACTGTGGACAAGATCAGAGCTCAGGGTACCAGTTTGGGGTCTGTTGGTTGAGCTTGGACTAGCTGGATGATGGTACCATCATAAGGGAGCAGAATGGATAGATCGATTTTAATAGCATGCCAAAGAGGAGATTGAAAGGAGGCAGGTCCTACTTCTTCTGATGCCAGCAGAGTCATGCCATGTGCAGAGGCAAAACGTCTTTGTAGCCATATATACAGCCTTGATAATGAAAGCTGCACATTTCCCCCTCTTCTCCTCATGGTAATAAAGAAAAAGGGCGTGTGGGTTGGTATGGTTCCCCTTTTCTCAGTGGCATTTCTGTTGGGATGATCCCAGTGATAGCCCTTGGCTCTAGATGAGTGAGCCAAAGGTTCCTGTGAAATTCCTGAAGGAGGTCATCCATACCACAGCCATCTCTTACATGTGTTCTGTACTTCCTCTCCCGGATCTGTATGTTTTTACTTCCATTTATTATTATTTTTGTCTTTCAATAATAATAGAACCACTCATATGTTTTCTTTATTTTATAAGAAGTATGTTTTGTATATTCCCTTTTGTAATCCCTACAAAGCTCTGTAGTAACCTATGACTCTAAAATGAAACCAAGGCTCAGCAAACTGTCTAACATGGGAGTAAATGGTGAGGTGAGATGTGAACCCCAACTTGTGATTCTCTAGAGTCCAGTCCACTCAGCTGAGGGTGTCACCCTCTTTGAAGCCCCCCCCCATGTGGTGACTTAAAGCTAAGTGGATGATGGCCATGCAAATTGGCCGCCCATAACTTAAGGATTCCCACGTAACTCCACAGGCAGCTCACTATTTGACTTCTGTTTATGGAGGCAATAATGGCTGTACCATTGAAAGAAGTCCGCTTTTCTGTGTAAGAACTATTTCTCTCAGAGCTTGGTGGCTGAAAGTCAAATCAACAAATCCTATATTGTGTTTTCAGTTGTGATCGGAGTGGACCCTGTATAGAACAAAAGGAATTTAAATGTGAAGTTAAGATTGATGGTTACCATATGGCCGAGAAAGGAGCACAGAGGTAGCCACTCTCATCAGGAAAAGGCTAGGGTGTCATCCAAGGTTGTACAAAGAAAATGTTTAGTCCCAACCGCTGCTCTAATGTATATTCCTCTCTTCCTCTTGTAGTTAATTGGAGTCTGGGCTAAGGGGGACCGTGAATGGAGGAGAGCGGTTGAAAGTTGAGTGGAGCCATTGTTGAGACTTAAGTGAAAATTTGGCTCACAGTTTCTTCACTGTATTTGTGTTTCATTTCAGACCTCAGAATACTGGAGTTAAAAAATACACTGGTGTGTGTGTGTGTGTGTGTGTGTGTGTGTGTGTGTGTGT